GTCGCCGGCGACTGACTGGCAATGAAAAACAATAGAAGGGAAGGAGGGGTTGTGCAATGACCTCGAAGTGAGCGGCGTAACAACAGTGAATGAAGTAGGGGTTTGGGGGGAAGGGGGAGGGTCAGACCTTTGAGCTATATTTAGACTTTCACCACTTAGCAGCCGTGCGGTGGCGTAGCGCTACGGCCAGTCGTGATTGGCGCGAGATTTTATTGATTTTTGCTTCTTTCTTCCTTTCGGTTAACCGACGTTTCGGATGACCGGGCTTCGGATAATCGACGCTCTACTGTATCTTTATTGGTAAAAAAAACCAATGTGATAAACTTATGCTTTCACTATTTTTTTTTTACTTACAAAAAATGCCTGCCAGCTGTCACACTTGCCCCATGGGGTCGGGGCAAGTGTGATAGCGGCCTCTATAAAATCATGTATCTCTTTTAATGGTAAATGGGGCAATTGTGATAAATACCCAGTTAGTGCTCTTTCAGGAACGTTTTGATTTAAGTCCCTATCATTCTTACTTTTTGAGATACCGTATTTACAAAATGAAATGAAGACGTACAAATCTGCGGAAATTTGTAAAAACTTGCATCAGATCACACAGATTAACACGTTCGCGGCGGCACGTCAAATGGCGGGCGTATCCCAGGTGCGGCGCAGCCCTCAGCATCGAACAAACCCGATTGCCGCGTGTGATTGGCTTTCCAATTTCGGTCTGACAAATAGCAAATAACGTGCGAGGATGTCCTGCTTTACAACGAGAGTCGACGAAGTTCGCTAAACACCAACAGACAGCAGCACTGCTTGTAACGGAGCCGGTCCCATTGGAATTGTATTGCCAAATGGAGGGAAAAAGACGGGACAAAAGTAGAATTTTGAGATTGCCAGACGGGGATTTTACGGGGAAATTTACTACCAACCTACACCACAACAAAATACAGTACCGTAGGCCTATACTATTGAGCAGTGCTGTGCGAGGTTTCAAGTTTCTAGCTCTAATCCTGGCTTAAAAATAAATCATTTCGTACTGCATTGCAGCTTGGGAGCGATCGCACCCACCAGGATGGCATGAGGGTTCCGTATGGGAGCGATTGCTCCCATGCCGCCGCGAACGTGCTAACATCAGATTACATCTGATCACACTTGCCCCGGGTGTCGGTGTCACACTTGCCCCAGCCATTGAAAATTTCCGGGGTAAGTGTGACATGCGGTTTTAAATTTAATGATAACTTAAATTTGTACACGTTTTAAATACCGTATTTTTTTTCTAAAAGTTTAGCTTTTAGGCTCTTTAAAAATCTGAGTTTGATATAAATTGGTCAAAATTTAAAATACCGGGGTAACTACAAATTAAACAAAATTTCCGAACAAACTTCGATTTTGACCTAAAATGTCGGACTTATAAAAACCAATAAAATCAACATACAGTAGTTACTAAATTGATAAAAAAAAAAACTACGTAGGCCCGAACTAGATACCTTATATGTCAAACATTATTTCTATGACAAAACCAATTTTTTTCAGCGATTCCCAAAAACAAGATGGCTGGCTAAGTTATCACACTTACCCCGCTGTCACACTTACCTTACTCCACCCTATTTGGTTTCAAAACTACAGTAATTGATTTCATTCCGCATTAACTTAAGTCTAGCATAAACAGCTGTTTGCTCTCCTGCTCACTCAGTCCACAGTCCACATACCAACCCATCCAGACTAACTTACGCCTTATTACCATCAGTAATGCTCAATGAACCATAGATTCGTAATTTTAACCTTCGTTTTACAGCCACTTAGTAATCTCTCCGACAAAAACTAATTGCATTTTTGGATTCAGCGTGAAAAATACTGTAAGTAGACATCTAAAAATTACACGATATCGCATTGTAGATATATCAAATATTTGCCAAAGCAAAAATAGAATGAAGGTTTACTAGGCCTAGTTAAAAAAATATAGTTCTTAAAAAAATAAAGTTACTTTTAAAAGTAAAAAAATAAGCACAAACTTGGACAAAAATTTAGTGTCCCCGGCGACATTCGAACTGGAAACCCTTTGATCACCAGTCTGAGACGCTATCAACTACACCACGAGTAACACCGTTGGAATCTAACCGTCTCATTACGGTAACTTAATGGTGTTCCCTCAAGAGTAGAATGACGTCACGCCCCCCACTCCTTCGCACAAGAGGTTCTCGCCAGTTACTGATGGGGAAACAGAGATGCTAGGCCTATATACAAATTAGACCTACAGCTTAGCCTAGGTCTACTTATTCATTTAAACTTTAAACTTACCTGACAGAGTGCAATAATATTGGAGCAGTCATATGATATACCCTAGATCTAATAAAAATGCTCATTTTATATAAATCACCTCATGCCAACCTTATAAAACATAAAACAACCTTGGATATTCAAATAACAACCTTAAAAGTTGAAAAAGTAACACCTATGAAAACCCATAACACTTACTTTGTATGCTGGTTGTTTGTTGCGTTGAGATAACAGGCTATAAGAAATATTATGTATAATGGTTAGCTAAGTAATAAGGTCTGCTCTACATTTAGTTAGATAAATTTGGTCAAAATAAAAAAGTTATTTCAGTAAGACCCAAAGGTTCACACTATTATAATTCGATTTTGGTTAAGTTTATTAGGGTCGCGGGCAGTGTTTCCATCCGCAAGAAAAAAATATCCCTGGGCCAACGTCAAAAAATCCCTAGTTATCCCTAGTCCGTGTTCTAATAATCCCTCCAATTATCCCTCTTCATTAAATCTAGATAACTTATTATTTTTGCAGCAATACCAATGCATATCATGTATAGCCACCTAAAATATGGTAACTGGTGGTATTATTCTTTAATATCCCATATTATTTATAAAGTAATACCATATAAAAAACATTTTTGCACCATTAAAACCACGGCCATCTTTAACTCCAGGCAGGCCGCGGCCTGGTAGAATTGGCAACGTTGCAAGTACCGTAGTATTGTTTAGCCAGACGTCCCATACCCATAAGTTAACATGGAAATAAAACATAATGTAGAATCGAAAACCAAAACAATATAAGTTGAAAATCTATTTCTATACATTCAATGTGGAGTCAATATTTTCATAGCCCAGTAACCAAGCTTTCGTATTTATTATAAAAAATACATAAATATCATTATAGCTTAGCGTTCTCCAAACAAGCACCTTTTACAACACTATACTTGCAACGTTGCCACTTCGAAGGCCGCGGCCTCCGGCCTGGAATTAAAGGTAGCCGTGATTAAAAACTGCCTATGTGGTACAAAACAAGATAAATTAACTAAAAAAAATGAAACAAATAGTTATTTTTAAAATTTTATAAACTAATAATTTTCATTTACAAGTAATTACAATTGTTTCAAATTTCAAACTTATAGTCTTTTTCAAACATGGCCACCATGCATTGGTGAAAAGGTTACCAAGTTACTTTAACCAAAAAACATCATAGAAATCACCAGCAAACAAAATTAAAACGAAAACAAACATTCGACATTTTTGACACAGGGCACATGGCTACTAAGAAACAAATACAGTAATCTTAGATCCGCCATTACATTCCACCGACCGACTTGTCCTTCGCTTGTTTCGTGCAGTGTTGAGTGTTGGCTGTTACTCTTCCCCTTGTCTGTTCCGACTTTGAAACACTACGTCACTACCACTACCTACAACCATAGATAAAACATACTCCTTGAGGAGTATCTTCTACAATCGATTTGTTACCAAAATCTGGGGAAAAAGTAGTACAATCAATGCGTTACGGTGTCAATACCTTGCAAAATTAGCCAAAATAGGTCCTTGACGTTGTTGAAATACAGCCAAAATGTATTATTTAATCAATATTTAAATTTTATTAAGTCAAAGGCCTGAAATCCCTAGAAAATCTAAAAAATCCTTCAATTTCGCTGATTATCCCTAGTTATCCCTCAATCCCTTTTCAATCCCTCGAAGGCCCTAAATATCCCTAGAAAGGGATTTTTATCCCTCAAATGGAAACACTGGTCGCGGGGATGCGCTATGCGATATTGCGATGCGGATGCGATGCGATTTCCTGGGCCACAAAACGGAGTGTCATTCATTCACCATGGAGTAAGTTGGTTTAGAAGTCTCATAAAACAGTACTATAATAAGTTGTTTTTTTCAATTTAGGTCAAACTTTAATAAAACATGTACCGGTACTTTAATAACATTTACACTTATTATTTTTAAAGAAGACGGACTGTGATACTTTGCATGTATCACACTAGTATTTGCATATATTACACTTCACTTATTGTAGTTTTGCTCTTATTACAGTTGTAATCTTGTTAGTCTACGATAGTTATTTGATGACGTTCATCCATTGCGTGTGCTGTACAAAGCGCTTAATGATGAATACAAATTCTTGATTCTTGACTTTACTTTGAAAAGGCGACCATACGAAAGTAGGGTATTTTAAGCCAAGTATACAAGTATAACAGCTGATCTATCTAATTGTAGTATTTAGGTATCAACCGATAGGCTTGTTTGTTTCTAAAATGGTTTTCTCAAAGGTTCGTTGTATTTGTTAGCTTTATGTAGCTAATTTGAATAACAAAATTATAAACAATAAAACAACGTAAGATAAATTTGACATTGAATTCCACTTGAAAAAACTAATAAGGTATAACAATATAATATTCGATAAACAATTAATAATCATATTTAAAACTTTAACAATAAACCAAGTAAATTGCAGCAGTAAGAACTGTCGGATAATTTTGACAATGAATAACAAAATTGAATTAGGTCTCTATAATAATCAATGCGGAGGGAGTAATCACAATTCCTAGTGTACCTCGAAGTTGCATGTATTTTTTTTCTAGGCCATAACGCAGGCCTTAGCTTTAACAAATAAAAAAATTTAGCAGAAGAGAAAAACGTGAAATGATTGTGTTTTTGTTGTAGGTTAGATTAGATTTTCGGTATATATTTGAATTCGAATTGAATATTAATACTTCGGCCTAACTTAGTCTAGTCTAGGCTCATGCTGTGTTTTAGTTTGCCACTTGATATTATTTATTTATTCAACTCTCATGTTTAAAGATTTAAATGGAAAAAGCTATGTGCAAATGCGCTAGGTTAATACATTCACCAGTTTTAGGACATTGGCGTTCTATAAGATATTTCAGCTCAGCAACAAATGCTGGTTCTTCACACAACTACTGTTTGGATTTAGTAAGGTAAAATGTGTTGACTAGCAGTCAACTTCATCTATCTTAGGCCTTTTAAAAAATGGCTGCAATTCTGGATTGAACCTAACTTATCATAGGATTTTAGCTAGGCTAATATAATGAATCAAGATTCAATAGAAGTATAGTTCGATAGCGAAATAAGTAGGCCTTAGTAAGGGTAGGCCTACAGTTCGGCAGAGAACCTATGATTTATTATTGGTTACAATTTCAGTTTTACAGGCCAAAAATCGATTAAATTTTTTTACTCGCTAAAAATATTGAATGTAGGCCTAGGCCTTACTTAACTTAGGCCTATTACTATTTTAGAACCAACTTAAGTTATTGAATTTCATTTATTGTTGTTGGCCATTCAAAAAGTGGCCTGATTAACTTACCACTTACACAGTGCACTGTGACGTTGGGTCGCCGGATTTCTACCCCCGGATATTTACCCCCATGAAAAAACGCCTACGTCATTTTGACGTCACGAGGGGCGGGGCCTATACACGGTCGAGAAACAGCCCGCGACTGGAAATCTACCCCCGGACATCTATCCCCGGACATCTACCCCCAGACATCTACCCCCGGACATCTACCCCCGGAAATCTACCCCCGGACATCTACCCCCCGTGGTCAGCTCTGTCACGTATTGGCCAATATTCACTGTTGTAATTGATTTTATTGACTGTTTTATGTAAATCAACGGCTCTTCGGTTAGTAATGTGATATGTCATTGTCTTGTTTAACATTATCTAAGTTATCTTCCTAATGAAATAGGCTGTAACAGCGCTTTTTTACCCGAACTACTTCACCGATTAGGCTACTTCCTATTACTAGAGGGGAATTAATAATGAAATAATTAATTAATTTATTGATCAACCAGTGGCAGGCTTTTTATCAACATTTGATTGCACTGTATTCTAACCTCTAGTAATCAGAAAATAGCCTCTTTCAATGATATGTATTAAATTTCACGATCTGTGCTCGTGCATGCGCCGTTAGCTGTTACTGTATGTGAAAGTTGGCCAAACATTTAAATCACTGTCTAGAAATAAATCAAATGCTTAAGGGTCAAACTTTTGAAGGCCTTTTTCAAAATATTATATTCAATATAATATAATTAATTGATTGTAGAATAAGATATTTAGCGTAGTGACGAAAGTTGTTCTGAAAAGCTGGTGTACCAGAGAAACACTTAATAAAGACATTTTTATTTATTTACTAGCTGGCCCGACAGACGTCGTCCTGTCCTATGCTTTTATGTCAAATGCTTGTTCATTTTCAAGATCCTGGTTGATGTTCGTTCGCTACGCTCACTCACCTTTAGGTTGGAGCTCGTTCGCTGTGCTCACTTGCCTTCAGGTTGAAGTTCGTTCGCTACGCTCACTCACCTTTTGGTTGCAAATTAGCTGTTGTCATAAATTTAAAAAATATAATTGTGCTGCACCCTGTTGGTAAACTTATTAACTTTTAATGCTATTGAACATCACAGAATCAAATTGCTTAGTTAAACCAGCTGTTAATTTTCTTTAATTCCATTTAAATATGAGTACTCATAAGGTTAACATGGGAAACTCCAGAGCCACTGGGGCGGAGCCCTTTTGACGGATCTGCACCAAACTTTACACAAACCATCATTGAATAATGCTTAATAATGCCTGAAAGTTTCATTACAATCTGTCGAGCGGTTTCGGAGTCCATAAAGGACAAACATACAAACAAACATACATTGGATTTTATATCTATAGATTTATATAGTTTTAATTACCATTTTGCGTTGCGCTAGATCTTAAGATTTAAAATTACACCCCGATCATAAAAATCGGTGAAGTAGTTCGGGTGAAAAAGGGCTGTTGCAACCACTCCATTATATACTAACCGAAGAGCCGTTGATTTAACTTACATAAAACAGTCAATAAAATCAATTACAACAATGAATATTGGCCGATACGTGACAGAGCTGACCACGGGGGGTAGATGTCCGGGGGTAGATTTCCGGGGGTAGATGTCCGGGGGTAGATGTCTGGGGTAGATGTTGGGGGGTAGATTTCCAGTCGCGGGCTGTTTCTCTACCGTGTATAGGCCCCGCCCCTCGTGACGTCAAAATGACGTATGCATTTTTTCATAGGGGTAAATATCCGGGGGTAGAAATCCGCTACCCCGTGACGTTTAGACTTTGGAACAATTTAGCCTCCTCTAAAACAAGGCCAAGGGTGGACAAAGGTTGGCCTTGTAGACATATATCGCAGCCTACACGGTTTACACAATTGTTATTAACTTACTGTTATTACCATGGCAATAAGCCAGCCGGGGCAACGTTGCCCCACACCAAGGCCATGGCCTTGTAGTAGAGGAGACAACTTTTGTAAGAAGTTTGTAAATATTAGTTTTAAATAATATGTAAATAAATAGTAAGTTATGTTATTGTGCCTCTGACGCAATCTATCCGACATCGTCGGTCAAGGATTAAGGACACAAGTATCAAGTAGGCCTAAGTATTGTTTAACTTAAGTTAGTTTCCTTTGTGTCTATCTACGCCATTGGCATTTTATTAACGTTTTGAGAGGGAATGGTTCAGACCCAGGTCTTGAGCAGCAAACCTAGTTATGCCTACTCGCTAAACCTAATGTTAACTTATTTAAATAGATGTAAGTGATAATCCAATTAGGCAAATGGAAATTCGCAAACATAGAAATTTCCTATGATAATGTAGGCTTATGGTAGGTTCTCTGGGGAACTGTCTAAATAGGGGAGCGAGGGGGTCTAATGGTAGAGTGCGGGCCTTCGGAGCCCGAGGTCCGGCATTCAAATCCTGCCAAATCAACAATGGATTTGATCTATGTGATAATGCCGCGACCCTCTAGGCCTGAAGTAATGTGTAAAATAGCTCCGTGCTAGAACCGGGGCGTGAAAGCGGGGCTTAATAAAAGGGTGGAAACTCCTGTAAGTACCTGCTTACTGCTTACTCTCCCAATTTTAGGATTTAGTTAATGAATTTCTGAAAAAACTCTTGGAATTTGTTTTAAACTTTTGCTAAGCATAACTTACTGTCCCTGTGTCAGATGACATCTCAGCTGATTGTTATTTTTATGCCTATTAACTTATTATTGTTTTCAACTTACTAATCTTAAATTAATGGTTTAGTAATTTGTAAGCGAAACTTTTTATCAATTATCAATTATTTAAGATGGGGACGCCACTATGTGCGTATTTTAACCCAAATATGAGTGAAGGATGAGTGTAGGATGAGTGGCAACTTTGGTAGGTACCTGAATCCATTACATTGACGAACATCTACAGTAGGCCTAAATGATTGGGCTATATCAAAAATATAATAAAAAACAAACTTTCATATCAATTGTAACAAGCGATAATTGAGATTGAGTCGGCTATAAATGTTTTCCGAATAGCTTTACTTACTTATTTTTTAACTTGTTTTAGGAAATACGATTATGAAAATTTTCTCAGTAGTTTATTGCTGGCAAACTCCGTGCGTTCAACAGCATTTGCAGTAAGGAGCTTCAATGTTGAAATATCCAAAGTCCAAGACCAAGTGAGCAACCACCAGTTGGCCCAAATGAGGTTGAAGTTTTGGCTGGAAACAATTGATAGTTTATTTAAGAATCAAGTACGGGAACATCCTGTGGCCCAAGAACTTCACAAGGTAAGTTGATTATCATGTCTAGGCATATAATTTCAATGCGGTAGCTGAGTGTTTATAGTCGTCATCTTACAACTTAATCAGAAATTCGCTGGTTGGATCCCGAGAAAAATCAATCGCTTATTAATTGTTTGTGTGTTTATCTTTGCCTTTGGCATTTTTAACTTTTTTTTGGGAGAAACAGTCCTAACCCTGGTCTTGATAGCTTTAATTTGGCATCATTAATTTATAGCCCGGTGACAAATTGCAGTTGGGTCTAAAAACGATCTCGCTTGAAACCAAAACAGCGTCCTTCATATTTGAAGACAAGCACTAAAACCACTCGGCTATCTAGACAATTATTTTATATTAGATACTGAATTTTGCTTTCTTTGTCTATTTGGCTTCTAATAAATGATCCTGGATGAAAAAAATCCAACAGAAAACAGACAAGTCTAATTAACTTAGACGAATCTTTGTATGCCACTTTTAACCAACACATTTTTACACTGTAAATGTCTTGTTCATAATTTTATGAAGGCTATGCTTCTTACTTGTAAAGATTGAGTTCTGTTTCTAGATTAGTACCAGTACCAACAACCTATACCGGTAGTTAATTTTGATCAGGAACCGGTAATAGTACTAACATCGAAAAAGATAAGCCTAACAACTCATTCTACTTGTTATGTTTGAGGTCAAGGGGAAATTATTCATGTGTTTGAGATTGATTTTTAAAACCTGTGAATTGGATATACTATTGCCATAATCTGGAGCGGTCATGGGTGTTTAAAATGTTATTTCAATAGAGTTAAATGGTTACTAAGTTCAATAGTTTGACAATTCAATTTTTTGATTTTTGTGTTCAGGCGCACCCTATAAACCATAACCTCTTTCACACAATCCTCAGACCCAGATAAAAAATCTTAATATTTAAACTTGTTATTGCCACTAGTCTATGTAGTAAAATTCATTAGTCTCAGTAAATAAAACAATATAAATAATACCCCTATACCTCTATACCCTCTATACCTTGTTTACTCAATTCCCTTTTTAAAATATGCAACCTACTTAGATCAACTAAAGTAAGCTACCTAACTGTTTGTTTCAGGCTATAGGAAGGCATAAACTGCAAAAGACACATTTGAAAAACCTAGTGTTGGCCCGAACCAACCAGCTTTCGAGTACATTTCCTAATCTGGAGGCGATGGAAAAGTATGCTGAATTATCTGTTTCGTCAATTTACTACATGCTATTGCAAGCATCAGGCAAGGCAACCTAAATAACTTTTGGGTAACTTCAATTGTTTGTTTTTGGACATTTTTTTTAGGTTAAACACTCATCTGCCACAAATACTTGTTGTGATGTCTACTCTGTGACTGTCCAGTCATTGTATCAGTAGTACAACCATTGACTCTGTCTTTTACATTATTGTAAAATGTTTACTGACATTAAAGATTGATTTGATATGATTTAGTGTTAGCCAAAAACTCAAAACCTTCAGAAATTCTCTGAAAAATGTTTGCAGTGTACTAAAGTAACCCTGAAAAAACTGATTTATTGGTGAGTTAAATGAAAATTCAGTCAGAAATTAGAGCAAATAAAAAATGGCTGAACTAAAGTTTACCTCTGAAATTTTGTTTTTGCATGGTAAATTTGAACACACACTGCAAATTGTGCACAATACATCCTTTATTCTATCAAATGGAAATTTCCCCCTTAAGAGTCCTTGGATTGGTCGGATTTGCCTTGCCAGGAAAGCAACGTTATTCAAACAGCCGCTGAAGAATTATTTACCATCACAAAATACCAAAGTGATTGTAATTTAAATATCCAGGGCGCTATAAAATAAGAAATTTTTTGTTAGTAGTTTTGTAACTTTTTAATGAGTTAGCACAGCTAAGCTCAAAGGATTCTTAACCACGATACAGTCTGGTCCTTGCTCCAAGTAACTTGTATTTGTTTCCCAAAATGAAGCATTGTTTAGTTGCACAGAGCTTTATTTAACAGACTGTAACTGCACTTTAAGAGCTGTAACTGCAAGCTTTGACTATTAATACAACAACTTCTGTATCCAATAGTCAATGCTGCAAGTTACTGAAGGCCTGAGACTGCATGTACACGGTGGAATTCTACAATGTCAACATCTATGATATGTGCCTACATTTTATTGGGGACTATGTAGAAAAGTACCGTAGTATTTTAAATCATCTTTCAAATGTATATACTGTAGCATATTTTTCTCCCTTTTACAAACCTTTTATTTGATTTAAAAACCTTCCTTACTTTCTGAAATAATAGCCCTTGCAATTTGAAATATGTTAAATGGTTTTTAAATTTAATAATTTAATACTTTATACAGTTATAGTGTGTGTTTCAGGTATACAGAATGTCCATGCTGATCATGCTGCCAGTCATCTAGGTAAGGCGCAGGGGTTGGCTAACCTGGTACGCTCGTTGCCGCATCACTGTACGCGTCGTGACGTGCCACTGCCTCAAGACGTACTTGCGCGACATCGTGTGTCTCACGAGACTGTTTTACGAGGACATCGAGACCAGCCTGTGCGCGACGTCATTTTCGAAGTAGCCTCTCGAGCCAAGCAACATCTTGATAAGGTAACTTTGTCCTTTTGTTTTTTTGAGATTGAATGAAGTTTAACTAATTGTTTGGCTAAATAAAAGTCAGTAAGCAAGTCTAAGGTGTATCATTTTTCAACCATCTTTGAATTACTTTTGTAATTTATTGTTGCTGTGGACTGTGAAGACAAGTCTAATTCCCTTCTAGTTTTTTCTTAAATAAAATTCCTTTGCATAGGCTACTTCAACAAAAACTGTTTTAGTCAATGTTGTTATACCTCGTCTACAACCCTATCAGAATTTTTTACAAAGTTTTAATGTTTCAAAAAGACATATTGAACACCAGACAATTTATGAAAAATATTTTCAGAAACTTGGGGTTAAAATTTCTTTTCTCATTTATTTAACAACATTTAACCAACCACATCCCTGGACTGAGGTATGTTGGGGATGGAGAATCATTGAAGTTCCCTCTTTCTACATGTATACGGTACTATTGGTCCAAGGTACAACAGTTTTCCTATTGCACTGATGAACTACGGTTCTGCCTACTGATTCTGCTTTTATGAAAAGTCATTGTTCTAAATACTGTATAAACATTGGACAGGTTTAACTGTTAACAAATCAAATAACATATAATTTTAATTCAAATGTTTAGAGGGAGAAAACTTATGATAAATTAAATTCCTCCATGAAAGTTGATTACTATTATGTATTGTTACAGGCTAGAAGCTTGAAGGATAAAGTACCTGAGGGCACATTTATCTTACTTCTACCTGCAGCCTCCACCTCTTGGTTTCTGGATCAGCTGCAGAAGTTTGACTTTGACGTGTTTCACCCGAAACTGCAGAGGAGACATCATCTCTTACCTTGGACATTGTACTTGAACAAGTTTCTGAAGCGATATTAGCCTGGTTTGTTACTCAGTTAGGCTGTTAGGTGGACTTTGTTGCAAATATCTGGATGGAATGTTTATAATAGTTATTTGTGTACAGTAACTAGTGGGCAAAGTGTCACTTTGCTGCACACAAGAGAAATTTTTAACTCGAGAAGGTTTCTCTAGTGCAGCAAAGGCAGTTTGCACTTGTTTGTGTTACACATTATATTTTTCCTACAGTTACTATAAATAATTAGTCTTTCAAACAATGTACAATACGTTTTTAAGGTTAGGTTAAATCCAAACATTGAACGAAATTGGAAACGCTGCACTAGCTGATCGTAGTCGTAGTATCTTTAAGTGTTGCCAACTTATTTTCAAGTGTATACATATTATGTGCATAATAAAAGCACACTGTTTTATGTTGTTTGGTTGGAATACTGGTGTGCGCCAAAGTAAAATCCGTGCGACAAAGTAAGGCTTTTTGTACTATAATCTGTTTAATGAAGCCCACTTTGTCGGGTGACTGTAGGAAATAGTTATTTGTGTAACTAGTGGGTAAAGTGGCACTTTGCTGCACAGGAGAGCAATGTTTACGCACGAGCCGCAGGCGAGTGTGGAATGATCTCGAGTGCAGCAAAGGCCTTTTGCACTCGTGTTACACATTATATTTTTCCCACAGTCACTATAAAGCATATAAATAATTAGTCTTTCAAACACTATACAGCACGTTTTTAGGTTCAGCTGGCAACACAAATAGGTGCCCTAGAGAAAGTAGTACCCGGTCCGTATCACTCCGCTATTTTTCCTCGGCAAGAAATGTGCTCCGCGTTTTGAGAATATAGTTCCGTATGTTTTTGTAATTTGAAGTGGTTTCCGCGTCCAAAAAAGTGCTTTAAAGGAATTTTCTTGTTTATTAAGATCGTAGGAATGTTTTAAAAACGTTTAAAAGAAAAGTCCAGAAATACCGAAACTATAAACACGAAATGACAGGTTAAATCGTAGTTATAATAGTCAATCAGCTGCTCATAGTATTATTATCTTTAAGTGTTGCCAACCTATTTCCAAGCGTACACGAATTACGTGCATAGTAGAACCACGCTGTTTTGTGTCGTTTTGTTGGAATCCTGATGTGCGGCAAAGTATAAACCGTACGACAAAGTATAAACCGTACGGCAAAGTAAAAAATATGCAGCAATTAGCAGCTTTCTGTACTATAAACAGTACAAGGAAGCCAACTTTGTCGGGTGACTGTAGGAAAAATAATTTTAAGTCAAATAGAGAGGTATTTTGATTATTTTTACCATTCAAAACGGTGTTCCTAGTAAATCTTGTCATAAACAGAGCAACTAGGTAAGCTAATCATTGACATATTGCACTGAGGTAGCCTTGTCATTGGAAATTCATTACTTTAACCTATGCGAGTAAATCAAAAGTTAAATCTCATCTGCAAGGATTCAATAGTATTCAGTCTTTAGTCCACTTCTGCTAGCCACTTGTCAGTGAAATGGTGGCTGAGTAGATAGACACGCTGCACTGACATGTGTTTAGCTCTGAAGTTTTTCTATATGCGTGGGTTTGATTCCAGCATTAAGCATACTAATGTGGCCCTTAGCTGGTGAGAGGACCCACCATAAGTACGATAAGTAAACGATGTCCAGCATGGGTATAAGGTAACGTCATTATCCATTAGTGAGTTTAGTAAGGATTGCACACCTGTTTACACGATGGAATCGCCTCTGAATCGTCTAAATAAGCTTATATAGGTTTAGGTCACCAGTTTCCTTTCAAAACGTAAACGATCCTTAGGTAACTATGGGGACTACAGCTTCTTCGTGCTTGAAGAAAAGTTACACATCTTCATGCTAATGTCAATGTTTTGTCGTGCATATTTTAACCGTACATATTCCCTGTTTTATTATAAAATTATGACGAACTCTACATGAGAGGTATTCTTGACCTGAAGATGAGCTAGTTTTCTACAAGCACAAAATGGCTGTAGTTGCCATAGTACTACCTAAATTTCGTTTTGACAGCAAACAGGTAACCTACACCTGTTTAGTTTCTTTTTACACTAGTAAAGAGGAGGAGGATGAAGTGATCTCTTTTTGGGTTTTTATTTTAGTTAAATATCACATCGTTTACTAGGCCCATTATTCCATAAAATGGGAAACTGACTCCATTTTTTTTTTTTTAGTTTTTACGTCACATCCAGTATTTTGCAACAAGTTGTATTAGTATTTGTACATACCCATTTATATTGTTGAAATAAATCTGTTATAAGTTAATAATTGTCTTTTTTTACAAACTCCTGGACATGGTTTTTACTTCCTGTAAGTTATAAACCTATTGCTTTGATATTGTTTTTGATTAATTATCCTATACTGACTCTAATACGAGCTATGTCTGTTTGTCTGTCTGGAATATATATCACGAAACCTAACGGAAGGATTTTTACTGCATTTTGGAGTTAGGGACTTATAGCCGTGAAAATGTGATTGGTGACAGCCACTACCTCACGAAAATTCTAATTTCCCTACACAACTCATTTGAAAATTTTAAATTTAACATTAGCCTTATGGGTTGCCAAGTAAATGTGTTGGTTGAACAAAATAACAAGGAAAAGGTCAACAAAAGACTTGTAATATGTGTTTATAACAAGCCATCCACAGTATACTTAGGAAACTACAAAATACAGTAGCACAAAGAGTAAAACATCAGTTGTAACTATTGAGCAAAATTTACACTGAAGACTACTCAATATAGGGGATAAATTTCACTCATTGTCCCTCTCCCACCAAAACTTAATCTCCTTGTACTGAGGCATTCCCCCAAACTAATTACATCTGGGGCTTTTAATTGGCATAACACTATTACTGTAAGGGTTTGTATTTGGCGCTTTCCCTCTGTTGAATGCTATTTATTCCTTCCAAAAGGAATACACAACTAAGACAGCCTCATAACCAAGATTTGTATCCCTGTGATTTACAACGTACACTATGGATTTCCTGCTCTACTCAGTGAGAGATTTTATAAATATAGGCCTACTTAAAAGGTGAAAAGGTTTCTTTAGACAAATTAATTGTTATCAAGGTAAATTTTATTGAAATTATATCCAGTGAGAGTTATGATTTATTGATTTGCTATCACCAACCTTAATATAAGTTTTTCCAAGCTTTTGCACATACTGGCATGTTTTGCAGTCAATTATTGTTCATTGTAGTCACATAATTTTCCTTTTATTTCCACTGCACTTTTTGTTAAGTTTAAACTCTATTCTTACATTTTATTTGTTTTAAACCATCAACCATGGTGAAACTGCATCAACCTTATTTAGCACTTTACCTCTGTATAATAATTTGGTACGTTTTATAGTTTTTTTTGTCGTCTAATAGTGTGGTTTGTCTTCTTTGGGGTTGTAACTTATTTGTAAAATAGTGGTTACCGTTGATAAGTGTATAAACATAATTTACATAAAGTTTAAGTTTTACTTTTCAAGTACCTAATAATCTTAATTTTACACCTAACAACTAATGTAGATTTATTAAATAATTTAAAATTATAATGTGACTATTATGTGTGGCCTATTAAAAACTACAGTAATGTGATTTATTTATGTGTGCTGATAAAACATACTTTCTGACAACATAAGAGAAATGAATCTTAGCTAAACTGTAGCAAAAGTGGCCCAATAGAAACAGCTGTTTCCTACCTAATCAAAACTCAACAAAATTGTATCAATTGTCATCACACATTTTCAAGTATACTTTAGTAACTTACCATTCAGCATGAACATCAGCTGACTGTTTGGATTACAATGGATGTTAACAATAAGCTGTTCATTGTTGAATCAACAATCATCTGTTAGTTGTGTTAAAGGGGGGAATTCCCAATCTCTTTTAGATACCCTAGAGATAGAAGAATTTTCTTTTAATTGCTACATAGGCAGTCCTAACTAATAAAATGATCAGAAAAAACAATGAACAATGAAAAAGTATTTATTAAAATGTCATTGCAACATACTATTCTTAAATGTAAAGTGGTCCTGTACAGTTGACATGGATGCAGAAACAAGTGTTGAATCTGAAACATAAATAATTAAGCGTAAGTAATATTGTAAAATAATGTGTTTAACATGCTGTATTGTTTTTGCATTCAATAGTATATTTCATAACAACAGTAGAAAGTGAGTCGTTATATGTTTGAGACCATATATTTGAAGTGCGAGAGCACTTTAAATATGGTAGAGAATATGTATAGAATCACTTTCACTGTTAATTTTGAATTGAATATTACTTTTTACAAAGATATATTTCTTAATTAAAACAGAGATTGGATATTTCTTTAATTATTACATTTACGAACATTACAAAATTCATTGCATTTTTTAGGTGTACCTGCAATTTAAAGTTAATATTTACATTGATTGTACAGTTTTAGCTCTTGCAAATTGAAACAGTTGACAAAACAATAGCTAATCTTCTTTGTAAATTAAAATTATTAAAAATAATGATGAATTTTTGCAGGTGATAAACACATTCTATACTCTTTGGCTGGTTTTATGCACCGCGACAGTCGCGAGTCGCGAGTCGTGCCACGTCTTGCGGCTGACAAAAATGTCACGCGACAGCGACACTTTTTTGTCGCGTAAACTCACATCCGGTGGTGGGGGAATTAAAGAAATCAGTCTGTTCTCAATCCAATGTTGTGTGTTGTGTTTTGATGTAGAAGTGATTATTAAGTTGTTTAAATATAGACCCTGTAGTGTTGTACACGTTAATGACAAAACCCCAGTTATTTAAACAACACATACAATTTACAGTTGGAATTGGGTCAACCCTCTTAAAAATGTCATTACACAATATAATGATGTAATTTATATTACAAATAAAGAGTAAAGAACTCATTTATATACTAATTATTAACATTAATCAATATAAGTATATGGAGAATATACCACGTGGAGTATGAAAAATGCTACTGTCGCGCCGCGACTGTCGCGGTGCATAAACGTGCCCATTGGATCCAATAGAACTTGAACCGCGCGCGACACATTTTTTGAAGCTGCGATTCTAAAACCTGTCGCGGGTATTTAGAGTCGCTCCGCGGCAGTTTGTCGCTGTCGCGGTGCATAAATGCTCCCATTTAACTCAATAGAACTTGAGTCGCGCCGCGACACGCGACACGCGACTGTCGCGGTGCATAAAACCGGCCTTATATGAGCAATGTTGGCTTGTATGTATGCTTGCTTGTTTGCACAATCTCAATAACAGCTTCGACAATTTCATTCAAATGCTGAAAATAATTTCTTTTATTTCTGCCCTGCTAACGTGTTTAATGCAAATAAAACTGCTAACAAAATCTGATAAAAAAATTAATTGAAAGTTAAACTTTTTTAACATTTGTCATATGAGTTGCCAAGTAACTATGTTGGTTGAACTAAACATATGCATCTCCTATCTGGGGATTAGCTATATCAAAAAACAAACTCTTCAAAATTCAAGTGATTCAAAACAAAATTCTAAGAATAGCCGTGAATGCTCCCTGGTTTGTTAGAAACAGGCATATACATGAAGAACTAGGAGTGGAGTCTATCTTGGCCTTTATTGAAAAAACCACCTCAAAATTTCTAAAATCTTTAAACAATGTTCCTGGTGCTTTAACTTTTCATCTTGGTGAAGCAACTGAGAACAGGAGGCTACGTCAAAGGCTCCCTCAAGATCTATTGGAGGAATGAAGCCTAAAGAAGATTAAATTATTCTCTAAATTAATTATGTTACAGGGTGTCTCAGATTTGGGCAAACCCACAATGTTATTTTAGTTAATTTCTTATTAATTTTGTTAACACTTCTAACCAGAAATAAATGATGCTGTAAAAAAAATAAAAAAATAACATGTCAACAAAATCAACAAAGTCAACAAAAGACTTGTAACAAGTGTTTATTACTAACAAATTACTATACTAGCAAATTACAAAATACAGTACAAAAGGGAAAACATCAGTCGCTACTATTGAGCAAAGATTACACTGAAGATTACTAGATATAGGGGAAATAGTTCCATCAAATACTAATTATTTTACTTGGCTCTCTCCTACCAACACTTCATACCCGAAGTACTGAGTCAATTCTTAGGAAAATTTGGTTTAACAGTGAAATAAGTATTTAATACTATACCGGTCATGAATTATATTTGTTTAATATAAACTAGAATTTAAACAAAATTTTCTTTTTTCAATTTTAATTTAATCAAACTGTCAAAACAATGTTTATGCAAGTACAGTCTATTATTAAACGAGTAATTTTTTTTTTACCATCGACTGTAAAATAAACTAATGTGTTGTGGACTGCCAGGTTAAAATTTCCATCATAATAAATTTAAACTCTACCAAAACTTAAAAAAGCCAAAATTAGTTGTAAGTAAAACAAGAGTTTCCATTATGTTGCTTTTACAATAGAAATAAACTATACCGAGCCATAGCTTGGTCCCTCGGTACTACATATAACAAAAACAGGTCATTTCACAGTAGTGTAGCCAAAAAGTGATTTACAAATATAGAAAACCTAGACTTTGTCATGAAATTTAGACTTGATTAGTAACAAAGTCTGATTTTTCACGTCTAAAACTATAAATGAAAAGATATTGTTTTTGATTAAAAATTTATTCAAAGAGGTAAATGAATTAATTTTAAAGCAAACTTTTAAATTAATTGTAAATTTTATTTTTTTATCCATACAATGGTCATGAAAAGTTGAAATAAAAATGTCATTGCTGGTGTCAAATTGGATTACAAATTTGAAACGTTCTATCAAGAGTAAGATCCATATTTATAATGACATAAAATGTCATTATAAAATATTATTTAGGTTTCAGATTCCTTTTTATAATTTATTTGTGTATTGTAATATATAGCAAATAACAATGAACAAACACTGCACTGGGTCTTAACATTGCATGTAAAATCTTGATATAGCTTTGAAAATTGGAGTTTTGAAAGACATTTCAAATTTTACCACCATATCTAAAATGAAAGTAAAATTTTAAAATGCCAAGTGCTTACGTGCTAACAATATATTTCTAACAAAAATACCAGCAAACCTGCCGAATAAGGGAATTTACATTTGTCCGAATTGATTTTAAATTAAATCTACGAGTATTTAAAGGACATTAGGATTAATGAGTACCTAGGTTTGCTGCTACAAGGAAACTAATAAATTGTATTTTTTAGTAAAATATTAATAGCTTAGTATAAAATAAATAAATTTGCCAAGTTTGATCAAAATATATCCTTAGACAAGCAATCTGCAAAATTTTACAATATTCTTCATAAGAATAACATGGGAATTTTAAATGTAAAATTTTGTGAACTTTCTCCGTTACCAATAATCTTACAAAACACTGTGATATACTAAATTATTTGTTTTTTTAAGCTCTTTAAAAAGGTCTAGAGAGAAATTGGGAAATTTTGTGTTTTGAGGGTCGAAAATTAGAAAACCCATTTTTTACCCCATAAAACCCCCCGTAAAACCCCGTTCCCATGGTCCGATCATGCTGGTTCGCAAACTCATTGAAGTTTGTCCTGCCTTACACCTTTAAACCAAATTTTATCAAAATTGGACAAAAATTACTCAAGTTATCGCGTTTACGGACATATATAAAAATTTGAACGAATGGTCTTTTGGCCTCTGGGGACATCAAAATGAAAAAGTAAATCAGTCCCGGGTCTAGGTCTAACCTTGCTCCTTTCGGCAATAGCTACTTCCCTAAAGGGAAATTCACAAAAAAAAGTAACGAAATAAATTTCATTGGAAAAGTAATAATTTCTAAAATCTTAATAATAAGTTTAAAATGACTTTAAAGTTAAAAAATGCCTTACTCATTTTGCCTTACTTTACAAATAAAAATCGTGATATTTTGGCTATTACTAAATTCAATTTTTTGAACTTGGTGCCATTTGTTAAAAAATTGTAAATGCTAAATAAAAGTGTTTGTGATATATTTTTTTAATCAGCCATTTATTAGTAATTTAAATAAAAAAAAAACTAAAATGGCCGCAATTTTCAAATTTTTTATTGGACCAAAATAGTTTTTCCTGGTATGGGTCTCTTCTACCTTAAGATTTAAATCAAGTTTCATAAATATCGATAGGAACATTCCAAAGATAAAAACGTTTATGTAAAAAATACACAATGGTCAATATGGTTAACGAAGCAATTTTGGATAAGCTTTACTCTTTATTTTCTTCTTATTTTGACCCAAGAAATCACTACGTATTTTATACCGCCCCTTTTCTGGATATCCTGTATAGAACTGGTGAGTTTAGAATCTAGCAAAAAGGCTTCTACCATGAAAGAAAATTTAATGTACTAATCAGCAATATAAAACACTGAAGCTCAAACACAAAACAATGGCTCTGTTGAAATAACTATCTAACACGTTTTGACGTTTCTCACGACGAAATAACTATTTCATTTCATTTCATTTCAAACAATCTTTATTCTTTTAGTACATATTTACATAGTACATTGAACAGTGTCGAAAAGTGATTCTTTATTATAACTTAAACTGTTTTCTAACTTATTTCTACAATTTTTTACCATAAAAAGAAGGCTATTTATACTATTACAATAGAGATTCTCAACAAAACAAACAACAATCGTAAATAAAATAAGAAAGTAGTAAAATATACTAAACATGCAAAAGCCCTTCAAGTCCCAGAAGGTTTTGAATTAAACTCTGGGTCAAGAAATTCTTGTATATTATACAATGCTTTAGTGGTTATAAAATCTTTAAGTTTCCTTTTTAATATTCTTGGATTTGGCTCTTGTCTTAAGGTTAATGGTAATTTGGAAAAAATAATGCTCCAGCATAAGTAGGTTTCTTTTTAAATAGTTCCAAATTATATATGGGTATTGCAATATTGTTCCTATTTCTAGTATTATAGTCATGAGTACTTCCTAATGGTTTTAGAGTATGTTCCCTTTCCTTGAAGTGGATGATAGTTTGATATATATACATCCCATAGACTGTCATTATTTTAAGTGCAATAAAATATTCTTTTACATGTGTTTTTCGTGGAAGTTTCAATATACGCCTCACCGCTTTTTTTTTATATTTAAGAATTGTATACATGTTATTTAAGCTTGTACAACCATATAAGGAGATGCCATAAGATATTATTGAATGTATATATGAAAAATAAACTAGTTTTAAGGTTTCAGTTTCACAGAAATACTGCAATCTGCTAAGGGCAAAGACACCTGAAGATATTTTAGCAATTAATTCTTGTACATGGGAGTTCCAGTTTAGATTTTGATCTATTGTTAGACCTAAAAATTTAGTTTTGTTTGTTTTACTAATTGCTTGATTTGTCCCGATATTTAGACTATCAGATGGATATTTTGCAGCCTGTGGGGTTTTAAAATTGATGAAAATTGTTTTTTCTTTATTTATTGCTAAATTATTCTGAGTGAAGTAACTAGACAAAGTGGTCATATTATTCTTAACTGATAGTTCTGTCTCACTAAAAGTTTTATCTGATATTAGCGAATTTCCCTATAGGGAAGTAGCTATTACCGTAGGTCTCATGGTAAGACCTAAGCCCGGGACTGATTTACTTTTTCATTTTGATGTCCCCAGAGGCCAATAACACCATTCGTTCAAATTTTTATATATCTATATATAGAGAGATATATACAGACTGTCCCAAAAGTCCCGGACCGGTTTAATATTTCCTAAACGACAACAGATAAATCAATAAAATTTTGCACATTAACACCACACTAAAAAATCTACTTTTTTAAGGAACTATCAGTTTTCTGTCATATCATGGGGACGTCCCACGAGGAGTCAGAAGGAAATCTTAAATAGGAGCATAGGTCAATATGCACATCAGTTTAAAGGGCTTAGCTAGCAGAGTTCAATGCCGGAAACCGCGCCCCGAAAGGATCACCCGTTACAAAATGGCGGCCGTTCAAAGATTTCTTGAACCTGCCATTTTGAATCTTTGAACGACTGCCATTTTTTACTCAGGCGTTCTTTTGAGCTTGAATTTACGGCATTGTAATCTACTAGTGAAGACCTTTAATTTGATGTGCATATCGACCTATGCTTACGCTAACAAAAATGTTCTGACTCCTAGGGCTCTGCCCCCAAATGCAAATTAAATGAATCTTTGAACCACTGTTACTCTTGACTTGGTTGTCCGTTTGAGTTTAAATTTGCAGCATTATATTCTGCTAGTAAAGACCTTTAATCTGATGTACATGTCAACCTATGCTTCTATTTAAGATTTCCTTCTGACTCCTTGCGGGACGTCCCCATGATGTGACAGAAAATTTATATTTCCATAAAAAAGTAGATTTTTAGGTGTGATGTTGATGTACCAAATCTTGTTGATTTATCTGTTGTCGTTTAGAAAATATTAAACCGGTCCGGGACTTTTGGGACAGTCTGTATATATATATATATATTACTAAGCAAATCAATATACCACAGTACCCTAAAAACATTTTATTTTATATTACTTACATGTTTCGGACATTAATGCCATGATCACATATGATACTTCAGACCGACCATACATACTCAGAAATGAATAAAAATATGCACATTCTGGATATTGAAAATAAAGGTGAAAAAATGAATACAAAGGAAGACTTTTATATTTATACTCATCATATTAATGACAAAGACAATTTACTAAACTTGACACAAATTCAAAATCAAAACGTTATATTCAATGAAATTATACATCTTAAAGAAAACACCTCCTTCCCTTAATATAAAAATTATCACCTGTTCTTTAATAAGAAATATCTAATAATGTTTGTAAATAAAAGAAACTAATAGGTTATATACTATACTGTGATCATGGCATTAATGTCCGAAACATGTAAGTAATATAAAATAAAATGTTTTTAGGGTACTGTGGTATATTGATTTGCTTAGTAACATTTAAAGTAGCCCTCATTGATATATATATATATATATATATATATATATATGTGTGTGTCCATCCGCACGATAACTTGAGTAATTTTTTTCCGATTTTGATAAAATTTGGTTTGAAGGTGTAAGGCGGGATAAACTTGAATGAGTTCGCGAACCAGCATGATCGGACTATGGGAACGGGGGTTTATGGGGGGTTTTATGGGGTAAAAATAGGTTTTTCCCATTTTTGACCCTAAAAACACAAAATTTCACAATTTCTTTTTAAACCATTTTGTAGAGCTTAAAAAAAACAAATAATTTAGTATATTGAAGCGTTATTATGCGCCTAATTGTTACGGAGAAAATTCAAAAAAATTGTAATTTTAAAATTCCCATGTTATTCTTATGGAGAATAAGTCAACTGTTGTAGTTTGCTTGTTTATGAACATATTTTGATTGATTTTGGAAAATACTTTTATTTCTTACTAAACTATTATTATTTTATAAAACATCTTTTTTACCCTCCCTATTGCAGCAAACCTAAGTACTCGTTAAACTAATTCTATTTAAATAGGAAATAAATGTGCTATTTATATGGAGGCATTTTAGTGTAAATCCAATCAGGTTAATGGAAATTCGCTTAGTCTGCAGGTTTGCTGCGGCGGGGGTATTTTTAAAGTGGCATCATCAGCATATAGAACTAATTTACTTGTGCCAGTCGGTGTTGGTATGTCTGCCAAATAACAGTTGAAAAACAAAGTTGAGAGTATTGATCCCTGTGGTATGCCATTTTTAATTTCTAAAAGTTGAGAGTTGTAATAATGTTTGAAGTTGTTAGAAAGGTTTACGATTTGGACAAACTGTTTCCTATTGGTGAAATATGATTTTATCCAATCAAAAGCTCTATCTTTAATACCTATTCTATGCAGCTTGTCTAATAAAATTGGGTGGGAAACAGAGTCAAACGCTTTACTCAAATCTATAAAAATTCCAATAGCTTTTTAATGATTATCTACTGAATCAATAACTGACTCAATCAAATCAGCCGCTGCTGTTAATACAGACTTTCCTGTTCGAAAGCCATGTTGTTCAGGCTTTAAAATATTGTTTGTTTCTAGAAATGACTCTAACTGTTTATATGCTACTTTTTCAAATATTTGAGATATTGATGGAAGGATCGCTACCGGCCGGTAATTTAGAGGATCCGCTTTATTTCCTTTCTTGTAAATAGGCTTTAATTTTGAGATTTAACTATAGAACATGACATTGTTTTTTGTAAAACGGGACCTACATGTTTTTGATTGAACGCTACATGATATGAATGAGCTAAGAAACGAAAGTTTTATTGATTTTTCAGTTTGAATTTGATCTAAAAACCATTCTTACAACCATAACTTTAACTTCATTAGTATTTTTTGTCCACTTGTCACAAACAGTGATTGTGCTGCTACAATTTTAAGCATAAGAAGTTGCAGTAAAAAAAATTAAATTCTGGCAAATAGGAGAACTTTGGGATTTTAGGAAATTATTCACCAAAATCTATATGTAATAAAATGCGATACTACATATTGAAAATCCATAATAACTAGGAGGGTTACTTTAAGATTTAACTACCGGTATCATAAATTTTGCCATACAAATTTTCCAAAGATCATAAGTGTTCATATTAATTTTAGGATAATTAAACTTCCATTAATTTTAATACTCGTGGATAAAAAATGTAAGTCACATAAAAAACCAAATATATTTCCCTGAAAACCAGATTCTTGGTACGGTAAGTTTCTTAGAGGTCTCCCAAGGAATTATAATATTATCAAAGTTAATAAACTAATATTTCATCAAGTAGCTTATTTATATATTTATAAAAAACCTTAACCCAACAAAACGATAAACACAGTATTAGCTAAACCAATCGAAATAGAATAAAAACTAATGTATCGAGTTAGAATCCAACAAAATTTACAGCAGCCTCCACTTTACAACAATAACACAATGCACTAACCAACAAGAATATAAACTCTATTGGATGAACAAAATTGACCAATACATAGGCAAAACTAAAAATTCAGCCAGTTTTTGTAGCAAACAAATCCAGCTATGGAGTGGAAACTAAAAGCATAGAAAACAAAAGCGGTCTAATATTGTGAGTAATTAATTTAACTTTGATTACCTCATTTCTTCATGGCGTTTTTCTGTAAGTGGGCAATTTTGCCGTCTTTGGAGATGTCCCCCTCGTAGGCCTGGGCTTTGGCAGCGATGCCATCCTTTCTTGGACCCTGAGGAGTGAGTCCCATGACATTGTTGCCTCCTGGTACCTTGCCAACAGCTGATCCGTGGTGTTCCACGAAGTCATGAGCAGCTTTCTTGTCGGCCATCTTGTAGAAACGTAAAGAGATGTTAACTAACGAAAGATCTGACGCGGAATGACGGCGACCGGCCGACCGCAGGCTTTTATACTTTTATCGGCACATCGCGCAGTACCAACACTCGAAACAGTATGAATCACAACTAGTAAAAAAAGGTTTGCCAACTTGTCCTATACTTACTGATTAAATTATTCGTTTTTCATAAATTTAAGTAAACAATTTTTTAAGGGTATTCTTTGAATGATAAAATATTTTAATACAAATTATGAACTTATTTGGTTGTTATGATTATTTAATATAGTAATAAATGAAATTATTAACGCATGTAGTTTACGAAAGTAAATCACTTAGAGGAAAGTAGGTAATGTTATTTTTTAAGCTGAGTGTTGCAAGAGAACGGTAAATTTATATTGTTATGTTAGTACCAATTTTGAATCGCATGGGGACCTGGCTTAGGGTAAATCGTCAACTTTAATACTCTATTTTACAATAATAACCACTCATCTCAATAATCGCGATTTAACCATCATATCTATTAGGAAGGAACTCCATGCGGTATTAAAATATAATATTTAAGAGTAGAAAATAATTGTGATATATAAATTAATTGTAATAGGTATTCTCTTGACACGTATGTGTATTTAGTAAACATTTTATTTACCAATTTACCTCTCTGTAGATGATTATCAAATCATAGGATTTTAATTCAATAGTTTCCGAAGCAATTCAAGTTTTATGAAATCGTTTGGCTTTTAAAATAAAGTAGTTAAAAATATTGTGCCAGACGGTTTTAAAATTAAAATAACACCCATTAGATTACCTACCTTAAATGCCTACGGAGTGTTGATAAATTACAAAATAACAAACAGTTGACGATATAAAACTACATATTTTACAATATTTTTTACTCCTGTAAGCAAAATAAACCATAGTTATCCTACCCAACAAATAGCCAGAGCAACACTAATTTTTAGCGTGGTTTCATAAGGAGATCCATTTTTACTGTCACCGTACGGATAAAAAAAAACCAATGCAGTGTGTCTCATTGCAGCATAACGTCTACACCTCGATGTTTTTATAAATATTGTACAACGCCTCTTATTTCACACGGAATCAATTCATGTTATTGCACTCAATTTGCTTACAAGTGAAATTACAGGAATAAGACGGACTAAGACAATCTTACTCTGCCGAAAGCCAAAGTGATTAACACTAAAACTTAATCGGTTGCGTCTGATGGAAAAAGTGGATACATTCAGTGAATATACGACGCTGAAAACACTAAACAGTTCAGTCACAAGCTAATGTGCACTTAAAATTGAAGAAGTACGTAGATTCAAAATACCTCTATACGGCATAAGTTGGACGTCTCATGCACATGAAGAATTTACGGGACATTTTGAATGAGTGGTTGGAATTTTTGTTTTGATAAATACCTTTAGGCAGCATAAAAAAGTCGGTCAAAATTTGATTCGTCGAGTAGCTCACATTTACTCGCTTTAAGACTCTTTAAGTAAACTTGGAACAATTGGATTGGTTGTAATCAAATTGACGTAATGTGCCACACATTTTGTACGGTAGTGAGTGTATTAAGTATCAATTACTCATTTTGTGTTGACTACTTTGTTACAAATACGTGTAACAATATTTTACTAGTTTTGAATATCTTATATCTATTTGCTATCAGGCAAATGAATAATTATTGGTTCGTTTACTTTTCATATCAATGCAAAAAGTGATACTTGTTCACATTGCGAAGTATATAAGTGTTATCTTGCCATTATTGTTATCTTAGATTATTAATCATTATCATTATTAATTATTGGCCAAAAATTTATAAAACGTTTAGTTTAAAATCTTATCACGTTACATATCTATATGTTGTTTAGTCCGAAATTAACAGTCAGTCATAGTTAACGAATGAGCTTATAAAAAAATCTTTATTTATATATTTTTATCGATATAACTCTTTTAGATTTTTAATTAACAAGCTTTATTATCCTTACATCAATTAATTATCCAATCATCTATTACAGGGAATAGCGACTTTGCTATGCCTTATATAATCTTTCGTCATACTGCTGAGAAATTGTTTTTTTTTTTTTGGAAGATGAGCTCGCACAAAGACAAATATTTACACGAGTGGGCATAATGAAACTATTTTTCTCCCCAAGGCAAAAAATAATGTCCTGGCGTCGAGGACATCAGCTGAGCTGTACATTTTCTGGCTCTGTATTCCAAAATGAAATTACCCCGATCGATACATATAATTCCATCGTTACAAGAAGGTTTTTGGCATATCATCGCGTCACGTAGGATTTTTACTGCAGTGAAAGTAGTCAGAAAAATGCACATTTTTTACGTATTTGAAGATCGTGTTTGTTGAGTATTACGCACGTGTTTCTTCTAAATACCGGGCTAATTCGTAGCTGTTCATAGCTATGGCAAAAAAGACGGAAATGATTTTGTAAGCTAATGTACAAAGGTAACAATTGCACAAAATCAAAATCATTGTTTTGACGAAAAACTTTGTTCAAATCCAAAAGCTTCTTTTCGACCCTCCTTCATTTTTTAACCTCAGCTTTAACTAGGTATTAAGCTGAACCTATGTCGGAAAGGGTCCCTTTTGGCCATGAGATGAAATACTATTAGATGTCATAGGATGTTTTTATGGTGGAGGTTACGATGTTCAACTTATATGTGATAATCTACGACGTCATAATGGATGTACAATACTTGGTGGACTGAGGGACAAAAGTCCATAACTATGTTGATGGAAACTAAACAATTAAAGAATTAGCTACTACTTCTAGTTAGAAGTTTTTTAGTGTATAGTATCAACTCTACCTGCTAGCCACTTTTGTCCGGTAAGAATTTTTCCTCCTCTCAATGAATATTTAACTTGTAATTTTGCTGTTTTCTCAAAAAACTTTTTCAAACTGTGTTTTACTATCTCCTCTTTTGGCAGTTTCAATATAAACATTAACCAACACTTGATAAGCAACGCTAAGCTCTTAGTATTCTGTTGTGTTAAAAACAATGTAATTCTTTTCCATTAAACAGACTAAAAACGTAGGTTATAAAATTAAATGAAATAAAGTATTTTAAATTAAAACAGAAAACAATAGTTTACGACTTATTACTGTAATGTCTTGGAATACTCTTTGTAAATTTAATTGATCAGCTGACTTTAAAAAAACATTGTATATCAGCTCAGCATCAGAAAAAACAATAAAGAAAAAAATATACAAACTTATTTTAAGTCAGCTGACCAATTAAATTTACAAAGAGTATTCCAAGACATTACAATTACCAAGGTCCAATTCAAGATGACTATCGAAAAGTGAGTATAAAGAAACAAACCATTTTTCTAATAGATGACGGCCAAGAGATGGATTCGTCATACTACTGAGAAATTGTTTTTTTTAAGACAAGCTCGCACAAAGACATATATTTACACGAGTGGGCATAATGGAACTATTTTATCTAACACTCACACACATTTATGTAACACTACGGTTAGGGTATATTGTTCGTTTTGGTTGAAAAGAAAGAAATTCAAAGAAAAATCACTCTAAATTATTTTATTGGTGCCTAAACCCAAAACAAAATTGGGGTTTGCTTTAAATTGTCAAATTCACCTCCCCATTGGAAAATAGACGGACAGTTTTGAATAAATTCTAAAATGTATTTTGAACAAGTGGAATGAATTTTCCTCCAAACCTAAAAAAGAAACAGTTACTTGGAAACGTTGACCCCCTCATACACATTTACATAACACGTTGAACTAGTATTAGCTTCAATAACGCTTTCAAACCACCACCAACCACATTAGAGTGATTAATGAAACATTAGCAAATTTATTTTGATTCCAATTTAGGAGATTACATTAGAGTTGGTTGATGCTTATTTTTACAACGCGCGCTGTCGATTTATTTAGTTTGCAGCCTGGCTGTTAATTAAAGTTCATTTACGTTGACTATTAGTTCGTTTAAGCTTGAAATTCAAATTGAGATTTTATGGTATGTTTTCCCACGTAAACTTTATTTATTTTACTCTAAATTATAAACATCGACTGTTTGGTTTCACGCATATCCCTAATCAACTCGACTAAACTCATTCATGATTAGGTATGAGTTAATAGAACCTGAATTTTCATGTTTATCAATCATTAACAATGTACTTGCACTTTTTCAAAAAATTGTATGCAAATAGTGAGACTTGCTTCCATACACATGTTAAAGCTGTCATGAACTTTTGAATGAAAATATACGAAGTTGAACAGAGTGACAGAGTGAGCTGAAGTAAGTGACTAGTACAATACGCCAACTATTTAACCAAGCAAAACTGGTAGGAGGATTTATTGAAAACTATACCATATTTTATGTCGAATCACTGCACTAGAACAATGATACCCCAACCGCAGCAATCCTGCCGACTAAGCAAATTTCCAATAAAAACAACAAACACTAAGGCAGACAATATAATTCTAGACTAGGCCTACTCTCTGCGTGGCTTCTTGAATAAAAGAAATCTCTACATCAGGTCCATAACGATGGGATGTCAACTTCAGTGTCAAAAGGTTAATGGTTTTAGTCACACTTGACTAAAAGGGATTCATTGAGTAAGTCACAGTCAAAAGCCATCACCCATAAATCGTTTCGATTCTTATCAAATTGAACATTTCTCAACAGGAACTAGCTGCAGATAACATGAGTTGTCACAGCTCCGCCCACACTAGTCACGTATCATGTGGAAAATATTTGTCAAATAAGCAGCTGCTTGGAGAATACCCTTGAAAACCACTTGACATGATGCATGGAGAAAACCCTTGAAAATCACTTGACACGATGCATGGATAATACCCTTGAAAACAACTTGACACGATGCATGTCCCTACAAGCGGTTCTCGAACATTGCGGTTTACAGCTAAGAATAATATTGATGGAAAATGATTTGATGGATAATGATTTGATGGATAATGATTTGATGGATGATGATATGATGGATAATGATATGATGGAGTTATGTAGCTTATGATTATGATCAACGAATTTGTACTCATGATCAAGCGTAGAATTATGATAAATCATATTC